CAGAACAGGGGACCTGGCATGGCAGCAAGGCTGGGCAGGGGGGACCAGGCCAGCCCCCCGGCCGGGATGGGGGTGGGACGGTGCCCAGGGCTCCAGCACCAGTGCCATCCCTCCACTGGCGTCGCTGGAGGGGCGAGGGCCGTGTCCTGGGGGGATGTACCCCTGGGGGAGCCAGGCGGGCAGCAGGGACAGTCCACCGGGGGGGGGCAGAGCAGGGGCAGCCCCTTGGTGGGGGGCAGCTGACACCTTTTTCCCCCAGAGCCACCCCCGGCAGCTTTGCCAATGCTCCCCAAGCTGTCCCCTCCTGACCACAGAGGGAAACTGAGGCACGGGAACTAAGGGGAGCACCCCAAGCCTGTGGGGACGGGGCAGGGGGGTGGTGGCTGGGGGTAGCAGGGCCGTGCAGGTTGAGGGGTCCACGGCTGCCCAGAGAGGCTTTTGGGGGGCTGCCAGACCCATACCAGGGTCTGGGTGGCACTGCCGAGCTTGCCCCCCACCCAGGCGGGCTGGCCCAAAGCACCCTGCCCACCCCTGCCTGCCCCTGCCCACATGTCAGGGCACCGGGTGAGCAATGCCCCACAGCTCTGCCCTGATCGGTGTGTCCCCCCTCCCCAGGCGGAGAAGAAGGCAAAGGTGATCGCCGTGATGAACGTGGTGGAGGAGACGCCGCGGGCAGAGCCCCAGAAGGAGGAGGAGGCCAGCCCCCCTGCCTCGCAGCAGCCCACCGACCCTGCCTCACCCAACGTGGCCACCACGCCTGAGCCAGTGGTGGCCGATGCCGTCGACAAGAACACCTCCAAGTCGGCTGACGACGAGCCTGAGTACGAGGTGAGGGCAGGGCCGGCTGGGCATGGAGGGGTTTGTGGGGCTGCTGCCCCCCAGGGACGCGGGCACCCCTTCTCCACCAGCCTCTGACCTTCCTCCCGTCTCCTCACGGCACAGGATGGCCGGGGCTTCGGTATTGGCGAGCTGGTGTGGGGCAAGCTGCGCGGCTTCTCCTGGTGGCCCGGGCGCATCGTCTCCTGGTGGATGACGGGCCGGAGCCGGGCAGCCGAGGGCACCCGCTGGGTGATGTGGTTCGGGGACGGCAAGTTCTCGGTGGTAAGTGGCACCCATGAGGTGGGGGTCCGGCAGCCCCCTCTGTCCCCAGGTGTGTCCCCCCGGGCTCACGGCCACATCCCGTCCCCCAGGTCTGCGTAGAGAAGCTCTTGCCGCTCAGCTCCTTTGCCAGCGCCTTCCACCAGGCCACCTACAACAAGCAGCCCATGTACCGCAAAGCCATCTACGAGGTGCTGCAGGTGAGCACCAGCGGCTGCAGACCAGCACCGGCTGTGGGGTGGCACCGACCCCAGCACCGGGAGGCTGGGGGGACATGGGTGCCCAAGCGGGTCCGTCCTGCCAGCCCCGGACAGGGTGTGTGGGAGCAGGCAGCTGCCCCTCTGCCCCACCAGGATCTGGCCCTGCTTCACCTCCTGCACCCAGCAGCTTCCTGGGGGGCCCAGGGTGTCTCTTAAAAGGGTCGGTGATCCAGGGGACTCTGGAAGCGACATCTTGGGGGTGTCTGGGAATCTCTTGTCCTAGCCAAGGGTGTCTGGAGGTCTGCTGGGGAAGCTATAGGGGAGTTTGGGGTCTCTGGGGAGTTGCTGAAGTCCTTGTGGGGTGATGCTGGGGAGGTCCTGGCTTTCCGGGGCTCTCTTGGCAGTGCTGGGAGGTGTGGGGGTTTCTTGTGGCACAATGTGGGGGAGTCTGACCGTGTAGGTCCCTTTGGGGCTGGGGGCTGCCTGGCTGGGCAAAGTGGGCAGCATCTGGAGCAGCTGGGGCAGGGGTCTGAGGATGGGGACCCCCTCAGCAGGGTGGGTGGATGATGGCCGGGCCTGCGGCTCCCCTGGCAGGTGGCGAGCAGCAGAGCAGGGAAGATCTTCCCGGCGTGCCCCGAAAACGACGAGACGGACACCTCCAAGGTGGTGGAGATCCAGAACAAGCAGATGATCGAGTGGGCCCTGGGCGGCTTCCAGCCCTCCGGCCCCAAGGGCCTGGAGCCCCCCGAAGGTGAGTGGGGGGAGGCTGAGTGGCCTTAGCGAGTGTCCCCCAGGACCCTCGGCCATTGACTCCGGCATCACCGGGGTGGTGTGGGCTTGGGCAGAGGAAGCGCCGTGGGGCAGGCAGGTCCCCCTGCGGGCGTGCAGGGCCATCGGGACCCCACTGATGGGACCCCACGCGCCCCTTGCAGAGGAGCGAAACCCCTACAAAGAAGTTTACACGGAGATGTGGGTAGAGCCAGAAGCAGCTGCCTATGCACCGCCCCCGCCCGCCAAAAAACCCAGGAAAAGCACAACAGAGAAGCCCAAGGTCAAGGAGATCATCGACGAACGCACCCGAGGTACTGCCCAGAGGGTCAGGGATGTCCCCGCACCCGCCCACCCACCCACCTTCCACGGGTTTTTCTCAGCTGTGACCCTGCCAGGTCTCCGTCCCGGTGCCGGCAGGGCCGTGCTCACCCTGGGGAGGAGCTGTGGGGCAAAAGCTGCTCTGGGCCAGGTCTCCCTCTCCATCGGGGACCTGGCTGGGGCAGGGCCAGTGCCCTGACACCTCTCTCCCTCCCCAGAGCGGCTCGTTTACGAGGTCCGGCAGAAATGCAGGAACATCGAAGGTGAGTGTGGGGCAGTGCCCGGCTCCAGGGCTGAGACACATCCTGCTCCCCGGGGACAGGGACAGGGTGGAGGGTCCCTCCCCGGCCAGGCACCAATTCTGGCTGTAGAGCTGGGAGGCAGAGGGGGCTCGGAGGGGCAGGGAGGGCCAGACGACAGGCTTGTCCCATCCCTCAGCCTGGCTGGCAGCAGGGACAGCAGCAGGCGTGACAGTGGACTGCCCCGGACGGTGGTGGGGACCCTTGGGATGCTGCACAGGGCTGGGGTCACCAGCACAGAAAGGGCTGAGCCTGGGCATGGAGCGAGGCAGGGCTGGTGGGTGTGGCTGTTGGGGGGCAGGATAGGGAAGGGGAGGCGGTGGGAGCCCTGCTACACTGTCCCCAGGATTGGTCCCCAACATATCGCAGTGGCTGTCGCGGTGGCACCAGCAGTTTGGGGTTGGGCTCTGCCGCTCCCTGGCTCAGGGGAGTTAAGCTGGTGTGACCCAGACACGGAGATGAGCGTTTGCTGGGGGTGGCAGCAAGACGTTGCTTGGGGTCAGGCTGCTCCCTGTGTGCTGGGCTTGCCCTGATCCAGGGTGGCAGAGACTGGGGCTAACGTCTCCCCTCCTGTCCCCAGACATCTGCATCTCCTGCGGGAGCCTCAACGTGACCTTGGAGCACCCTCTATTTATCGGAGGAATGTGCCAAAACTGCAAGGTACGGCGTGGCACAGGCAGCCCCAGCGCCAGGCAAGCGGGCACAGCCGGGTCCCCCCAAACGGCCTGTCCCGGAGATCTACCTGCCAGGCTGCTCTGCCAGGAGCTGCCCCAGTGCCCTCGCAGCAACATCCCGGCACAGGGCTCGGGCCGTGCTGCACCGCACTCACACCTTGGCTCTCCCCCAGAACTGCTTCTTGGAGTGCGCATACCAGTACGACGATGATGGCTACCAGTCCTACTGCACCATCTGCTGCGGCGGCCGCGAGGTGCTCATGTGCGGCAACAACAACTGCTGCAGGTCAGGGGCTGCCATCTCGACACGGGGCTGGGGAGGTTTTGGTGATGCCATGGTCCTGGCATGGGGCTGGGAGGCTTCAGTGATGCTGCAGTCCTGGCATGGGGCTGAGGAGGTTTCAGTGATGCCACGGTCCTGGTGTGGGGCTGGGAGGCTTCAGTGATGCTGCAGTCCTGGCATGGGGCTAGAGAGGTTTTGGGAATGCCACAGTCCTGCCATGGGGTTTTGGTGATGCCAGTCCTGGTTTAGGACTGGGACATTTTGGTGATGCCAGTCTCAGTATGGGACTGGGAGGTTTTGGTGGTGCCACAGTCCCAGTGGGGCATTTTGGTGATGCCTCAGTCCTGGCATGAGGCTGGGGAGGTTTTGGTGATGCCCTGGTCCTGGTGTGGGGCTGGGGGATGTTGTGGCAATATCCCAGTCCCAGCATGGGGCTGGGAAGTTTTGGTGATGCCATAGTCTCAGTATGGGACTGGGGAGGTTTTGGTGATTCTACAGTCTGATGTGGAGCAGGGGATGTTTCGGTGGTGCCCCAGTCCTGGCATGGGAATTTGGTGATGCCAGTCCTGGTTTAGGGCTGGGGCGTTTTGGTGATGCCCCAGTCTCGGTACGGGGCTGGGGAGGTTTTGGTGGTGCCCCAGTCCTGGCAAGGGACTGGGAGGTTTTGGTGGCACCACAGTCCCAGTGTGGGGCTTTGGTGATGCCCCAGTCCTGACATGGGGCTGGGGAGGTTTTGGTGATGCTAGTCCTGGTGTGGGGCTGGGAGGTTTCAATGATGCCACAAGTACCACCTGCAGGTCTTTGCATGGGGCTGGCGGAGGTTGGGGCAGTGCGGCAGGTCCCAGCGTCCCTCCCTGCCACTGGTCTTCAAGGGACGTGGCCGCAGCCTGGCCTTGGTCCCGCTGGGGCAGTGCAGCTGGTTGAGACAACGCGGCCGTGCCAGGGACACCGTCCCCCCACCGCTGCCTGCACTCACCCCCCAGCATCCCATAGCAGGGATGCTGCCAGGGGGCACCGGACCCAGCCCCACCACTGACACCGGCTCCCGGCTCTCCCAGGTGCTTCTGCGTGGAGTGCGTGGACCTGCTGGTGGGCCCGGGGGCGGCCCAGGCAGCCATCAAGGAGGATCCCTGGAACTGCTACATGTGTGGCCATAAGGGCGTCTATGGGCTGCTGCGGCGGCGGGAGGACTGGCCCTCGCGCCTCCAGATGTTCTTTGCCAACAACCACGACCAGGAGTTTGTGAGTGCCCCTGCGGAAGGACCCCCCAGCCCCAGACGGGCTCCCTGATGCCTCCCATGTTCCCCCTCACCACCTGACCACCACCCATGGCTTTCAGGACCCACCGAAGGTGTACCCGCCGGTGCCGGCCGAGAAGAGGAAGCCCATCCGGGTGCTCTCGCTCTTCGACGGCATTGCCACAGGTGGGTGGGGGTCCCCAGCCTGGCAGCCCCCACAGGGACCCTCCCTGGGGTGTGTTTGGGACCGGTATGGGGGGTAGAAGGGAGTGGGGTGAGCAGCCTGCCTGCACCCCACAACTGTCTGGCCTCGGGGTGGGGGGGTCCCGCACCCATCGGGGTGTCAGCAGTGGGTGGACAGACCTGTGCCGCCTGTGGGACCCCCGGCGGGGTATTCCTGTGGGCAGTCTGCACCGTCTCCTCTGCCCTGGGCCCTGGGGGGTCCACGCTGGTGGGGGACAGAGCAGAGGGATGGCATGGGGACGGTGGTGCTGCCCGGGTGGGATGGGGAGGGGGGGGCCGTTGTCGTCATGCTGCCCACCCCAGCCCCGCTCCCCGCAGGCCTGCTGGTGCTGAAGGACCTGGGCATCCAGGTGGACCGCTACATCGCCTCCGAGGTGTGTGAGGACTCCATCACCGTGGGCATGGTGAGGCACCAGGGCAAGATCATGTACGTCGGGGACGTCCGAAATGTCACCCAGAAACACGTACGTCCTGCCTGCCGGTCCCCCCACAGCTCCCCCCTCCCTGTGTCCCCCCAAAGCTCTTCTGTCTCCCCAAGACGGGACCGGTCCCTTGTCCTTTATCTCCCCACGTGCTGGGCTTCACCAGCATGGCATCACCGTCCTGCCAGGGAGCTCGGCCACCATCCAACCCCATCGTGTGTCCAGGCGTCCCCCCCGCCGGGCACACCGTCCCCCAAGCAGGCGGCAGCGTCTTCCCCGGGCAGTGCCCAGCTCACCGGGGGCTCTCCCTCTTGCAGATACAGGAGTGGGGCCCCTTCGACCTGGTGATCGGGGGGAGCCCCTGCAATGACCTCTCCATCGTCAACCCAGCCAGGAAGGGGCTCTATGGTAGGTGTCTCCCTGCCGTGCTGGGGCTGACCCCCACCACCAGCCCCCCGCCACTGACACCGGCCCCTCTCTCCTCTCTTGCCCAGAGGGCACTGGGCGGCTTTTCTTCGAGTTTTACCGCCTGCTCCATGAAGCCCGGCCCAAGGAGGGCGACGACCGGCCCTTCTTCTGGCTCTTTGAGAACGTGGTGGCCATGGGGGTGAGCGACAAGAGGGACATCTCACGCTTCCTGGAGGTGAGTGCCGGGGGGTCGCCACCCTCCGGAACCCAGCCCCAGGGACCCTGAGGGTCCTGCCCCCACGGTGGGCTGCCGAGCCCCGCTGACTTCTCACCTCTCGCCCTTCTCGCAGTCCAACCCCGTCATGATTGATGCCAAAGAAGTGTCTGCAGCACACAGGGCACGGTACTTCTGGGGGAACCTTCCCGGGATGAACAGGTTGGTGAGAGTGCCCCAGAGCCGCGCCGCTGCGGCCAGCCTGCGGCGGCTGCCTGCCTGTCACCCTGCCCGCTGTGGGGCTGGGGCGGCTGGCAGCCCCTGGTCCAGCACCGGGAGGGAGGGTGCTGCCGGGGGCTGCGGAAAGTGCCAGTCCCCTGGGTCCTCCCCTGGCCTGGATGTGGCTCTGGGGGTCCCCCTGACCCCAGTCAGTGCTGGGCGAGAGTGAGGGGCTCACAAAGTGGCACTGGGTGACAGCACACCCCTAAAGCCCAGAGCAGTGGCCCCCACAGAGGCCAGAACTGTCCTTGCTCCCTCATGCTGGTGGGGTGGCATGGAGCTGCCCTCTGTTGTCCCTCCCGGACGAGGGTCATGGTGGCGCACAGCTGGTGGCCACGGGCAGGCTCCCACGGGGATTGGCTGCTTCTCACCATTGCCTGCCGCAGCCCCCCCAAAACAGCCTTGGCCCCCCCACAAACCCCAGGTGGAGAGCTGCCCTGTGCCCACGCAGGTGCTGGCATGGGGACATGGGGATGTGGTGCCCACCCTGTCTCTCTTCCCCAGGCCACTCGCGTCCACAGTCAACGATAAGCTGGAGCTGCAGGAGTGCCTGGAGCACGGCAGGATAGCAAAGGTCAGCCCCGGCACGCGGGATGCAGCCGGCGGGAGCGGGGACGGTGTGGCCGAGGGAGCGGTGGGGTCTGGCGGTTGTCCCTGGCGGTCCCACACCTTTTGGGGAGGGGTCCCATCAGCGTGGAGGAGGGATGCGGCAGCAGCACTGGTACCCCGGGACGGGAGTCACCCTGCCTGTGACCACCCTGCCTGCCCAGCCAGCACGCCGGGGGGGCTCCATCCTGCCTCCCCCCCCGGCATGACGAGCCTGTGCCTCTTGCAGTTCAGCAAAGTGCGAACTATCACCACTCGCTCCAACTCCATCAAGCAGGGCAAGGACCAGCATTTCCCCGTCTTCATGAATGAGAAGGAGGACATCCTCTGGTGCACGGAGATGGAGAGGTACCACGGCCGGCTGAGGGCTCACCACGGGGCTGCGCGTGCGCCAGGGGTGGGCCGGTAGCGCCGCGTCCCTCGGGGCCAGCACCCCTCTGACCCCGCTCCCCATCCCCTCCCTGTGTCCCCACAGGGTCTTCGGCTTCCCAGTGCATTACACAGACGTGTCCAACATGAGCCGCCTGGCCCGGCAGAGACTGCTCGGCAGATCCTGGAGCGTGCCGGTGATCCGCCATCTCTTTGCTCCCCTGAAGGAATACTTTGCCTGCGTTTAAGAGAGACAGACAGGAACTGGTGACACGGAGCGAGTCAGAAACAAAACCATCCACGCCAAGAGAAGTGAAAACACGGAATGAGAGAAGAGTCAGCACCCAGAAAAGAGACGGGATTTCGCAGCCCGACGGGAACCCAGCACACGTCTCCCCGAGCGAAAGGGTTCGGTGTCCTCTCCTGAATTTCCAATGTTCAGCTTTTAGCCTATTTAAAAAAAAAACCACAAAAAAAACCAACGAAAACGACAAAAAAAAACAAAAACAAACAAAAAAAAAAAACAAACAAAAAACCAAAACCATTTTTTTTTTGGGTAACCTTTTAATTTTCCGCTCTTTTCTGGCTGGGTTTTTCTGTTGGTTTGGTTTCTGCTTCTCGGAGCAGCGGGCGAGACGAGACGCCGTCGCCAGCTCTGCTCTCGGAGGAGGGGAAACGGCAGCGGGAAACCCCAGCCGGGAGAGGCGGAGGCGAAGGAGACCCGCTCCGTCTGCGCCGAGCGTGCGCCGAGCTCGTGGCCCCGGCCGCCGGCCCGGCGAGCTTGGAGGGAGCACGAAGCGGCAGGGAGGCGCTCGGCCGGCTCCGCAACGCCCAGCGACTGAGCCTCACTCTTTTCCACCAGCACCGTTCACTGGTGATATGGAGCCAACCCAACTGGCAGGGAAGCCGAGAACACACACACCACAACACACACCTTTTCTACAGTATTTTGGGTGCCTACCACACGGGAAACCTTGAAGAAAGCAAATTCTAGAAGCCGCTGTTACCTCTTGTTTACAGTTTATATATATATGATAGATATGAGATATAGATATATATATATATAAAAGGTACTGTTACTACTGTACAACCTGACTTCATAATGGTGCTTTTAAACAGCGGGGTGAGTCGAGACATCAGCTTCCATGTTGCCTTACGTGCCGGGCCTTTCCGAGCGAGCGGCGCGGGAGGGGGCCGGGGCGGCAGCCGGGCGGGAAGCGTCTCCATCCCGAGTCATGCAATAACCTTTTTCTGTCCTAAAAGGAAGCGCCTCCCTCGGCGACGGCGGTGGCCGCCCTGCCCTGCCTGGCCCTGCCCGCGCTGCCTGCCCTGCCTGCGACGCGCACAAACGTACTGGTGCTCTTCTGCGTACGTGGCGTCCCCGGCCGGGCCGGTGCTGGTTGTCCCCCCTCCCCGACCCGGCGGCAGTGGCAGGGTGTTCCTGCCTGCTCCTGCCCGCAGGTGCTGCCTGCCAGGCCGGCACGGGGCACGGGTGCTGTGAATCGGGCTCTTGCCGAAAGCTGTGGCAGTGTCGCGCTGGCAGGGTCGCAGGCAGGGCGGGAGGCAGGCAGGGAGCGAGCGTGGGACGGAGCGGTGCCGGAGCGTGGCTGGGGCGCTTCTGGCGCGGGACAGGGACGGCTGTGGGTCCCCGGACCCTGGTGCTAACATCCGCGGGGCCGGGCTGGTTGGGCAGGAGGGCGATGCCCCGGTGAGCCGGGATGGGACCTCGGTGCTGCCCGCGGCGTGGCCTTGTGCACCGGGCGGCTCGGGGCATCGCTCCTCTGTCCGAGCGTGGGTTTGGAGCAACTGTGTCCCGTTGGTGCCCCGTGCCAGGGGTGGCCCCGTGCCCCCCTTTCCGGGGTGATGGGTGCCCAAGAGGTGCACGGTGGGCGCGGGGATGCCGCAGGAGCAGTGGTGTCGGTGTCGAGGGCAGGCAGCCCCGGCCGCAGGTGGCCGGGTGCCGCAACGGCGTTGGCGGTGCAGAGGGGAGCCGTGGTGCGTGCAGGCAGGACGCGGGCAGGTGCTGGCATTGCTGTGGATGGTGCTACTTGTCTGGCAGCTGTGGGTGCCGCAGTAGGTCGGTGGGTCCGGCTCGGTGCAGGGGCATCGCCCCACATCCCCGGTGCCCACTGGGGTGGCCGGATCCTGTGCCCGGTGCTGGAGCGGAGGGGCTCCGGCAGGGGCAGGGACTGGTGCTACGGCACAGGGGAGGCTCACGAGGGTCTCTGGCCTGTTGCCGTCTCTTCTCTAACTGTGAAAGGTGCCGGAGGTCCGCGTGCAGGCAGGGGCCGCCGGCCGCTCGGTGCGGGGTGCTGGCTAATTGGCAGCGAGCCGCGCCGGTGGCCCCCGGGGTGCTGAGAGGTGCTGAGAGGTGCTGGGACCGACAGTGGCGGGGGCAGGCGGGGGGGCGGCCCCGGGGCCCCCCCCACCTCCCCACCGCGCCTGGTGCTACCGGGGTTTCGGAGGCCCCTCTTGTCGGTGCGGGCGGCGCAGGGAGTTGAGCAGGCGCAGGGCGGCCGCGGTGGGGGGCACCGCGGGGCCCAGCTTTGCCAGGTGGTAAAGGAGGCGAGGCGGGACGCGGCCCCCCGGCCCCGGTGCTGAGCCGTGGCTGTGGGCTCCGGCTTGGTCCCGGGGCCGGATCCCGCGCTGCCCTGCAGCGCCAGGGCGAGTCTGGCACAAGACTGCTGCGCCGCGCACGAGTCCCGCCTGCTGCGGCAGCGCCGGGCGCGAGCCTTGCATGGCCCTGCAGCGCTGTCTGCAGGTCCTGCGTGGCCCGCAGCACCGGTGCAAGTGCTACGTGGCCCTGCAGCGCTGGGTGCAGGTCCTGCACGGCCCTGCAGCAACACATGCGAGTCTTGCATGGTCCTGCAAGCACCGCTCGCAGGTCCTGCACGGCTCTGCAGCACCAGCTGTGGGTCCTGCACTGCCCTGCAGCGCTGTCTGCAGGTCCTGCATGGCCCACAGCGCCGGGTGCAAGTGCTTCGTGGCCCTGCAGTGCTGTTTGCAGGTCCTGCGTGGCACTGCAGCACTGGCCGTGAGTCTTGTGTGGCCCTGCAGTGCTGGGTGCTGGTCCTGCATGGCCCCGCCGCTCTGGGTGCTAGTGCTGCACAGTCCTGCAGCACCGTTTGCAAGTCCTGCATGGCCTTGCAGCACCAGGTGGCAGCGCTACACGGCCCTGCAGCACCAGGTGCAAATCCTGCACAGCCGTGCAGCACCCTTGGTGAGCCTTGCAGGGCCCTGCAGCACTGTTTGCATTTCCTGCACGGCCCTGCAGCAGGGTTTGGGGGGTCTTGGCGGGCCCCGCCACACCGCACTGGCTTGGCGCAGTGCCGCAGTGCTTCCTGGGACCCTCTCAGCCCCACGGCGCCTTTCATGGGCCGGGTCCCAGCCGGCTCTGCAGCACGGTGAGCCGGCCTGGTGCAGCGTTGGCGCGTCCCAGGCGGTTCCTGCACCTGCCCCGGGCGCCCGCAGCTGGGACGCCCGGGCCGGTGCTGGAGCCGGCGCCGGAGCCGGTGCCGGCGGGAAGCAGGTTCCCGTCGCGGCACAACTGGAAAGGCGCCAGGGCGGCGCCAGGCTTGGCTCGGTGGTGCCGGGGGCACGTCGGCAGCTCCGCGGCAGCCGCCGGCGGTGGTGGGGACCGTGGGGACGCCTGGGGAAAGAGTTCAGTTTTTAACGTACCCGACTCACATCTTTTTTTAAAACAAACAGACAAATTTTGTTGCACAGCCCTAGATGAAACAGTAAAAACAAAAAAAAAAGCCTAAATTCCTTAAGATCCGCCGAGGGAGTAGGTGAAAAACACGGTGCTAAAACATTTTATTAAAAATATATATTGTTAAATTAAGTCTGCTGTCTGGACAATGACTGTTTGTTTTGTTTTCTTGTAGTGGAGTTTCAAAGAGCACTATTATTTTACTCTTATATATTATTATTAAAAAAAAAAAACAAAAAACAAAAAGGCATTTTAACTTTGTACTTGAAAACTAAACGAGAGATTTCATGTGTTTTAGCCTAGACATTGAAGTAGCTGACGCTTAACTATTTGTGGGGAATCATGTACTCATACCGAGGAATAAACGCGTAGAGTTCGGTACCCTCCTCTCCTATGATTTGGCTCAGCCCGCGCCCGACCGCCACATTCCCAGCAGTGCAGGCGGCGCCGCCGCGGCCGCCCCGGCCCAGCGTCCCCAGCTGCTCTTCCCCCCCCACCCCGTTTTATTTTCTACTTTTCTCTTTCTCGGTTCGTTCCTTTTGTTTTTTGTTGGTTTGTTTTTTTAGGGTCGCTTCTCTATTTATTGCCGCTGAATACTGTGCATTTCACCGTATGGTTCTGGCCCGCGGGGCTTGCCCGGCACTCTGTTGTATCTGTGTAAGTATTGCTCGTGACATAGCTGTTCTGAACTAATTAAAGGTCAATGCGTGCAGCAGATGTAGAAAGTCTGTCCGTTCCGCTTCCATCCCATCCTCCTTTTTTTTTTTCTTTGGTGCCCAGAAGAGTATAATACAGACGAGCTCCTTTCTAATGTACTTGTGCTGGAGAACACTTGAATAAATGTACTGTTTTTGTGCAAAAAAAAAAAAGAAAAAAAGAGGAAAAAAAAAAGAAAAAAAAAAAAAAAAAAAAAGAGGAAAAAAAAAAGAGAAAAAAAAAAAAACAAACCTCCCTGCAGTCCTGTGGTCTATGTCCTCTCGGCATCCCGGGGTGGGGGGGGCGTCCTGGTGGGCAGAGCGGTCCTGGTGGGGTGTGGAGGGGTCCTAGCACTGGTGTTTGGGTCCCAATGGGTGGCAGGGTCCAGGCAATGGTGGGCTCCCGGTGGGCAGCGGTGTCCCAGCGGATGATGGGGTCCCAGTGGGGTTCCAGCAGTTGGTGTGGTCCCAGCGATGACAGGGTCCCAATGGGTGGTGGGGTCCAGGTGATGGTGGGGTCCTGGTGGGCACTCAGTGGGGTCCCAGTGGGTGGTGGGATCTTAGCGGGCAGTGGGGTCCCAGCGGGCAGTGGGGTCCCAGTCCCAGGTGCAGGGGGCCATGAGCTGAGGCACGGGGGGCTTTGCTCATGCAGCACTGGAGTGTGGGGGTGCAGACCCCCAGGAGAGTGGGACCCCCATTTCTGCCCCATGAGCTGTGGGTGAGGAAACTGCCCTGAGCAGCTTCTGCCTCAGTTTCCCCTCCAGCCAGGCAGCGCCAGGTGGGTAGCGAGACTCCTGGGGATCCCCCCCCAGTCCCTATGCCAGACTGCGAGGTGGTGGGGTCTTGAGCATGGCCGTGGGGACCCCTCAAGGGACAGAGCCCAGGAGAGGGGCTGGCGGGGGTGAGGGACCCCTGGGCCAGGGA